TTTATAAATTGCAATAATATTTTGAGAGGGGAATTAAAAGAGAGAGGGAAACAAAACCCAATCGTGTTAAGCTTGGTCACCACTAACTAATTGCCTGCTTCCACATGATATGCCCACAACTCCTCCTCCTTCAAAATGAAACCCATTACTCTTTAAATATAATTTTTTCATTTTCTTTCTTTGTTTTCCATTATTATATTATCCACCCTCTGTTTTTGTCTCATCTTAAAAAACCTCCATACAAGACAAAAACCCCACTTTTAATTTGGGTTTATTTATGCATTTGACTTCTAGGAAAGAATCTGTTGCAATTTATTTTTAAAAACAATTTTTAGCTTTGTTTTTCAACTTTGTTATTATTATGTATGTTGGAGGTGGAGACTTGGACTGTCGGAGGCCGAGCTGTCTCGAGAGAGAAGAGAGCGCTTCGAACTAACAGGTTGGGAAGGGACCCTTGGGCTACAAAAATGAACCACCACGCCGACCTCATGAGGGTGACGGATCCAGCCACCAGTACGGGACACAGTATTTGTCAGGTCACCTAATTCCATAACAGTGAACTATGATTGATGGGACATGAAACTACCCATTGACCCACTATAAATGCACCCACATTTCACCCAATAAGGTAGGAGAATCTGTCTAAAGCTGATCTATCTTTCTCAGATTCTAAACTAACTTGAGCGTGTTGGAATGCTCTACTTGTTTTTTAGGTCTTCTTGATCAGCTCACCCGACCCTATCCAAGTCACTCCACAGGATTTAGACAAATTTTTGCATCAACAATATATAAAGAGTCAAATTGTAATCGTATTGAATGATAAAAACATTTTTACCCACACATTAAGATCGGAAATGAAAGAGATTGAGCTGAACTATGATTTGTTATACAAATTATATATATGTCTGTAGCTATCGACATTTTTTTTTTTTGTTGGTCAATTTAACAGAGTTGACACACGACCGTGCACATGGAATAATACTGTCATGTGTGTTGATTTGGTTAAAAAAATAACTGTTAATTTTAACAAATTGATATCATTTCTAGATTTTTCAAACCACAAAAGAGTTTGAAAATTATTCTTAAAATCACATGGTTTGATTCGAAAAATAGGAAAAACTAAGATGGATGTGGTAAGAGAATAAGACATCTACCAACCTGTGGATGTTTTCATAAATCAAAGCGATTCCACATTTATATTAAGGATCAATGGATTTTTCTCAATAATAGACTAAAAAGTAGGGATGAAATTTTAAAAATGATAAAAAATATGAAAATGAATACTAATGATAATATTTATAACTTATTAAAAATGATAAAGTTCTTGTTTATTAATTAAAATATATAAACTGTGTTTTTCGTATTTCTTATTGAGATATCGATATTTTCATTGACACAAACGTATTATGCTTCTTGGCGGGTAAAAACTATCCGCTTGACACATGGACCAATCAGTTCAGCTTGGTGACATCCAAATGGTTTATTTAACCAAAAAGAGAAGATCGACATACTCCTGAAGCTGAGTTGATCAAACCAGTCGAATTGAGCAATCACTCAAGTTCTCCTCAACCAACCTGAGGATGTTGACTTCAGGCCGGACAATCTGTAACCGTCCCAACCTCTTGTCGAAACGGCCCTAACGAACTTGTCCCCCACTCTACCTATTAAAGGGACACCACTTATCTGACTCAGGTACATGATTCTATTTGAGAATGACCTACTGAATCTTGAACCCTTACTTAATTATTTGAGCGTCGGAGTATTCGTTCCTCTTGTGTAGGACATTCCTCATGCAGCTCGCTCCTCTGTAGCTCAACAAGGTCTATCGAAAGCTGATATTCATAGCTCCACAAAATTTAGCATCAACCTATCCTTTGGTATGATTTGTAATTATCTCAAAAGAAAATGGATTTAATGAAAGATTCAAACTTTCATATGAAAAGAAAAAAAATACTTTCTTACATTTTCAAAGAAAAGAAAAGAAACGAGATTAAAAGCAGAATGTGTGACTAGCATTAAGTTTTGCCAAAAAAAAAAATTAGAAAGGAAGAAAATAGAAAAACAGTAGATTAGACCATTCTTTTAATTTAGGTCAGAATTTGACCCATAATTAAAAAGAAAAAGAAGTTTTAAAATCAAAGAAATCCAACTAAAATCTTCAACCTAAAATTGTCAAAAAGATGAATTTAATTGCAAAGTCAATATAACCATGAATTGAGGATTCCAATGTATTGGACACAACTTCCCATCGTGTAGATATGCTAAGAATGATATATATATAAATAATGTTAGGTATAGTGCAAAGAGAGAAAGATAGATCTCCCAACTTGAGATGAAGGCATGATATAAATAGATCGGTCAAAAATACAACAGCACATGTAAAAGAAGACAACATAACTAAATTTGACAAACATCACAAGAAACATACAACATACATTAAAATCGAGAAAACAAATTAACAATCCGATCATGAAAATAAATCCCAAGCAAATCCATTATCATATAACACATAACTCTGAACAAGATGTAAAATATTTTTAGTCGGACAAGGGACATCCATGGGATACTGGAATTATTACATTCTCTCATAAAACTATTGAGATAGGGCACGATAGTTGTGTGTCCATAGGCCTGCTGTTATTAAGAATTTCGTTAAACTTCAAGATGAAATAAAGAAAATTCCTTTTGTTGGAGGTAAAAACCTACCTGACATGTTAACCAATAAACTCAACTCGGAAGGATTAGCAGACTTATATATCAGAAAGGGAAGTCTGACCTATGGCTAGAACGGGGTTGAAACAACTTAGTGAACTCCCAAGTTCTACTTGACCGAGCCAAAGAGATCCCAACCTCATATACAACAATTTGTAAGTGCCCCAACTTCGTGACGGAAATGATAATAATAGACTTGTCCCCCTATTCCGCCTATTAAAAGGTGCATCACTCCTCCCATTCAGGTACGCGATTCTGTTTGAGGCCGGCTTACTAAGTTTCGAATCCTTACCGACTTAAGTTTCAGAGTATTTGTTTCCTTCTATGCAAGTCTCTCATTGCACAACTCACTCCTCTGTAGCTCGTTCGAATTCGTCGAAAGCCGATTTTTGGAGTTCGACAGAATTCAACAATCACTCATTTTTACCTTCATACTTTTTAAATATTAAATTTTTAGTTTTAACAAATGAGATCCTCAATTAGTTTAGGAGTGTATTTAAAGAAAAAAGATTTATAGCTAGTCTTTTCCAGAACAATATTACGGGTCTGAAAATTTGAACATTATGGTCTTTTAAGAAGAGTTTTTCTTTAGTTCAACAATTTCAAGGTTGGGGATTAAATCATCGACTCTTATGGATGGTGTACGCCAAGCTATGTTCAATCGGACCCTATTGCTAGTATCTTAATTACTGAATTATACTCGTGTGTTAATTATAGCTAGTTACAAACATTGCTTTTTTTTAGTTGTGTTGGATATTTCCGTTGGGTTTGGACATTCTAGTAAGTTTAGTTGTTCTTCTACCACTTGATTCTACCCATTTTTGTAACTTGACTTTTAGTATTCTTGCTAGGGATACAAACATATACTCATACATTGACTAGAAATGGAGAGAGATGTGGTAATACTAAGTTGAGATGCCTTTTTTGATTTATTATTTGGAGAAAAAAAAGTTTAGAAAAAAGAAGAATTTGGAGAAAATTTAATCAAACGGTAGGCCATACAAGAATTTTAAGTATATAAGCACATTTTAGCAACTCCTCATTTTCTTAAGCATCATCCCATCATATCAGCCTGGTTTTCGGGGTTGGTCAAATATAATTTGCAAAGTTGTTTTTTTATGGATGACTTTCTCAATTAACTACAAATGAAAATTTAAAATATAAATAAACCAAAAAGAATTAACGTGTTTGAGAAACAGCGGGGAATTATATTAATTCTTTTTTGTTTGGTCTATGAGGAAAGAGATCTTTTTATCATATATAAAAAACTAGGTCAGCTGGTCAAAAAAATATAAGTTAGTGCAAAAAAATGCAATTAATGTCCCAATTTCACAATTAAGTTTCTATTTTACTTTTATTTTTTTAAAGAATATAGTATTGCAATTATAACCGAGGTTACTGGTAACTTATTTGTTGAATTTTGGTTGATGATTACTATTTCTTTTTTAAATTTTGTCATGGGTAAGTTAATTATACTCAAATTCTACTTATGACTCCACGTATCTAGAAAAGTATAGAAGACCTTGATAGGATAGGGCGAGAGTAGAATAGACAAGGTGGGAGATATTGATATTCATGCCATGGAATTTCATCTCAAAATCAATTAGCACTCAGAGAAGTAGCTCACTTATATTATAAATTTTTGTTAGGTATCTTATCCCTCAAGATCGTGACTCTTTTAGTTCATAGATTTTGATCGGATCTAATTTTCTAGTCGGATGTTTGTTTGAGCGTTTTGGGCTATATACCATATTAATATTCATGGAGTTCCATCTCAAAACCAATTGGCAATAAGAGGAGGAGAGGTCAACCATCATGGGATGACTCAAGTGGTCAATGAAGGCCAAAGTAAATAGCACAAAGATTTGGAGGGAATGAGTTCAAACCATGGTGGCCACCTACCAAGAACGGGTGCACACGGGAGGGTGAAGTCGAAACTTGAAAAGAATTTACTTCATTTTCACCTTCCTCAGTTTCGAAACAAGTCCAAGAGACACAAACAAATTTTTTAAAGCTTAGAAAGCCAACTCGAAACCGACAAAACCCAGATTTTAGGCATAGATGAGAAATAAGAAACAAGGAAAAAGAAATCCCAAATGGCCAACATTTGTACCACTATGCCCCACGCCCCACTCCACAATCTAAACTTTAAACTAAAATAAAACCACCATTAGAGATTGGTCACGATCATCACAGATCACAGCTATATAAAGCCCCTCTTAATGCCACTACTCCGTCTCCCCATCTCTTTCATTTGAAGTCCCATTTTTTTTCCTTTCTCCATATCAATGGAAAACTCGGCCACCTCCAGAATCTGCGCCCACGATCAGGAAGCGACGTCGTTTAGTTGTAGTTGGACTTCCTCCATGGACGATCTCATCATGTTTGACACTACAGCAGCAACAACATCAGACGACTACTACAATCGCGGGATCTTTTCTTCTTCTTCTTTTTCTTCTTTGAACAATTATTGTTCTCCGGAGGCCGATGGTGATCTTGATGACACTGCAACTTCTTCTCCTCATCCTTCCATTCCCGCGGTTCGCCTTTTTTAATTTCTCTTTTCCCTCTTCTCCTGGTCCCGCCATTGTTTCTTTTGAGTTTCTTTAAAAAAGAAAAAAGAAAATTGTTTTACGAGAATTTATTTTTTATTTTAAATATACAAAATTTTTGTCTCTTATTTATTTTTTAATATTTATTATGCATTTTATAAGTCTGAGAATCATAAAATAGTACTTTTCTTTGTGTTTTGAAAAAAAAATGAGATCGGAAACAATAAATTTGATTTTGTGGATTCTAAAATTTGTATACAATTTTGAAAACGTTTCCTAAACATAAGAAACGAGAAACAAAAGTATCAGATATCAATCGTTTATATCTTTTGAAAATTGAAAAACAATAAACAAGAAGCGGTCGGGAGAAAAATGTTAATTACCAAAGGGGTTCTTTATTTTCTTTAGTTACTTTTTTTAACTTGGTAATTTCGTTTTTTCTTTTGAGTCAGATGGGTGAGCTTAATAAAAAGCAAACGAATAAGAAGATGGATCAAATGATGATCACTGAAGCAAAGAAACACAAGGAGGTTTAATTTCTAATATACATTTACAGCTTGAAAATGTATATATGTTTGATCATTTAAGACATTATTCTGAGACATAATCTAACACATTTTTCTTTTTTTTGTTTTTGTTTTTTTTTTGTTTAGGGAAAAGGAAGTGAATGTGAAGAATGTGGGGAGATTGAAGATAGAATTGAAGTGGGTTTTGTAGGGAGGGATAATAAGAACTGCAGCACAGGACTTAAGCATATAGGCCTTTGTTTAGTTCCTGTCACCATGGTTGTCAATTATTTTGGTTAGGGTTTTGCCCTTCATATATACAATTCAATTATACACATATATTATACTCTCTTTTATCTCTCTCAATCTCAACTATAAATATAAGGATCTCCCTAATTATTGATCATCTCTATCCTTAGAAAAAAAAATTCATGCTATTAGGTGAAGAATAATATGAAGGTTATTAATGGATTTTTAATATGAGTTCTACGATATCTCAATGGTAATTGATATATATCTCTAACCAAAGAGGTTGTGAGTTCGATCCCTCACCCCCACATGTTATATTAAACAAATATGAGTTCCACAATGTGATATTTTTTATTAACTGGTATGGGGTATAACGAATCACATATTTATTGAAAATGAGCTCGATTAATTTGGAGTGGGTGAAAAATTAAGGGAAAAAAAAAAGGAAAGAGGGGTAAGATTAATGGTTAATATTTAGCCCATTGAAGTATAACTCAATGACCATGATATTAGTAACCTCTTGAAACCTTGCAGATGAAATATTACCTTCTCACAAGCAAAAAATTATGATAATAAGTTTTTGGTTCTATGTTTTTAGAATTTAAGTGGTGAAATATTACTTTCACCTTTGTGTTCCTTTATTTTTTTTATATAGTTTTTATAAACATTTTAAAAATCTATGCCAAATTTTGAAAACAAACAAAAAATAAATAATTTTCAAAACTTGTTTTTATTTAAATTTGGTTAAGAATTTTAATGAAATTGAAAAAAACAAACATAGTTTTTAAAAACAAAAAATGAATAATTGTTATCAAATGGTAAGTTTTTTTTTTATTTTTTAATAAATATGTTGGAGAGAGGATTCGAACTCACAATCTCTTAGTTGGAGGTATATGCTAATTACTACTACTAACTTTAAAGTAGGAAAACAAAATTAAAACTAATAAAATTAAAGCATTGAGATTAAAAATGAAATTTCAACTTATAATTTCCCTTAAGCTTTTACATTTTCATTTGACAAAATGAAATTACACGCCAAACTTTATTTACTTGTATATATATAACACATACAAACCAAGGGCATTTTTAGCTACTCCGATCCCCAGTAGGATTATTAGCTTATTTATCATCTACCAAACTAATTAAACAAACAGCCACAACA